TTTGTTCTCTGAAGCCACATCTAGGAGTTCATGGTAGCAGAACAAGTCTGAATAGCTTTGAACGTGAAGTATCCTCAGGGTAAGATGTCAATTCAAGAGGATGACTTGAATCGGTTTCAAATGAGGTGTCTGGTGAGAAGAAATGCTGGTACAGTCCAAGAAAAGCATAGCTGATTTACATTGTGTGCATCGAACCTTGAATAGACACTATAGGCTTTTACAAGAGGCTTTATAGAAAACCTGCAGGGACTTTATGCTTGAGGGAAAAATATAGGCAATAAGTTATTTATAAAAAAAAAAGATAAAATCATCCAAGGTTATTATCGATTAGCATTTTTAAATTTGTTTAAAAATGCTAAATGATACTTTGATGCTATTTTTAAATTTGCTGTGCAATTTGCTCTATTTATGCAACCATGCAAATGCAACAATTAAAAGTAAACAATTATGAGGAATTCAAACAAATTCCTTCGTATTAAAGATCATACTGTATATGTAGTTAAACCTGCCTGTTTTACATTTGTTGGCAAATAAAGAAAAGTAATAAAAAAGACAATATCAATAATATAAAATTAATTTAAAATGTAAATGTTTCAGTATATACTCCCGTTCTTGACTGATGTGTTTTTCTGTAAAAACGTCATCTACAAGTGTTTCTCTAAACCGCTGCAGGTCAGAATTTTCATAATAGAGTCAGTGATTATTATTCAGAAAATAATTATTTAATTTGCTACAGTAGTTGTAATTTTATTTCAGTTATTTTTTAGCAACCCAGGCTCATTCTGAAAATATACCACTATATATATATATATATATATATATATATATATATATATATATATATATATATATATATATATATATATATATATATATATATATATATATATATATATATATATATATATATATATATATATATTAGGAGATCGTCAAATATGTCCCTGGAGGCATGTTTTATTTTATTTATTTTTTATTTTTTTGTGGTTTTTATCCACTAGTGCTGCGGCGAATGCTTTTTGACATCTCAATTTTCTCTTGCGAGTGCCTGCTATTCACACGTAAATCCACCAGAGGCCGCTGTGAACTGACTGACTGACCGATCGACTGACCCACACACCTCCTTCCCTAAACCCAACCAATAGTTTTAAAAAGCAATACAGAAAAAGAAAAGCCCTCGCCTGTTTTTAACACGTTTTCAGGTTTCCCAAATTCTCACCCTGTTATTTACTTGAATATTTTATATTTGGCTACTGTTTTTGTCTTACGCATTTTCTGGGGCCGTTCTTTACCAGACTCAAACCATTGTGGTCAACTCCTCTCTGCGTCTCAAGTCTGCCGATGTACATGGTGAGCTACAAGACAAACTGGCTACAGCGGGAAAGCCATTCACACCGAGGTAAGCGGTCAGCTGGTAAGCGCGAAAAGAAACGCCGTCATACCACCACGTAGCGTTCATTTTAAAGATGAAATGCAGCCTTGCATACCTCTGGCTACATAATTCGCGATCTCCAGAAATGTGTATAGGGCTAGCTTTTTTTAGAATAAGCCTGTGTTGCTTTTTAGTTACTGTTGTTAGTTTCGTTTAGTTTTTAATTTATTGTATTTTTTTAATTTCATTTCAGTTCATCAAAATGTTACTTCACCAAAAGTTGTAGTTTTTGTTTGCTAAAATAACCCTGCTATCATCATACAGTAGAAATTCATCAGCACTTAAAACCCAGGCACAAATGTTCTTGTTCTTGCACTGAGATCTTCGATGACTGCAGAGGTGAAAGTGCCCCAGAAAAACTGCTGATGAAAACATTTCTCATACCCACAGACGTTGGGAATTGCTGGGGAGCAAGTGAGAGCAGGGTCTTTGTGATCCGAGCACTTACGCATGTCTATGAGCCAACGCAAAGTGTGTGTTATCACTCAAACAGGAGGCCACACATTTTTACCGATCAGAACATGTGAATGAACTGCAGCATCTGTTAATGATATCTACTGGCTCACGCAAACACCCTGAGGTAGGGGTTGGATTTAAGTACAGCCAGACCTCACGTTGGCTTATAGTCAGCGTGTTAATGTAATGTTAGCCCTGAAAATTCTTTTACAAAAAGAAGCAAAAAAATAAAAAAATGTAAAAATCACCCACCGCTGTTCCGATGATGCTAATTATGAAACACAGTGGCTCCAAAACCTAGTGAGCTACTTTCTACATAGGCCTTCAGTATAGTAAGTAATCAATCTTGAACACTCTACAAACATTTGGTGTCACACTAATAATGATTCATGATGGATTTCAGTTCAGTTTCGAATGTGTTTTTGTATTAGCATGTTGCTAAGCTAATTGAAAAGTGACAAAAGAATGAAAAATAAATGGGTGGCTTTTCTTTTTCAAAGCTTTCTGGGATTATTTAGATTTATTCTCCACCATATCTGATTTTTTACACAATTCATTGCAATCAGTGTTGGGTGTAATTATTTATTAATTTTTTAACTACTAATAAAGCAAAGTAGGTCATTTAGTGACTTATTATATACTTGCTTTAAATGCTGTAAATAAATTCTAGAGGTCTGAGGTCTAAATCAATTTAGAGAAGAAGAGTAATTGTATTTTTGTTATACAAATTTATTTTGCAAATTTATACTGCAAATTGCTAAGCTAATAGTAAAACATAAAATGTATGAAAAACAAATAAGTGATTTTTTATGACTTTTTTATTTTTCAATGCTTTTTTTATTTATTAGATTTATTGCCTGCATTCTCCACCAATATCTGATTTTTGACATACTTGCAATCAGTGTTGGGTGTAATTATTTATTAATTTTTTTAACTACTAATAAAGCAAAGTAAGGAATTACTTTTTGTTTTTAGGTAATTTAATTAGTGACTTTTTATTTAGGCCAGATGGAATCTGCAGACATTTTTTGCTATCTCTGCGCAGAATTTTTTTTTTAAATCTGCGGATTTATGCAGAATAATTTTGGGAGTATCATAACTAAAACCTTACTATATGAAATAAAAAAGTATTATGTTTTTAACTTCTATTTAATGTTTACAATGCAAATCAAATTAGATCCACTTTATTTGGTAAACAAATTAAGTCTTTGATATATATATATATATATATATATATATATATATATATATATATATTAAAAGGCATATTTAAAATATTACAAAATATTACTTTACAAACTGTATTGTAAACAAATCAATCATATGAATATTTTCATATTAGTCAATAATATTACTAAAATTAATAAAAATTGAATAAATATGAATTTACACACATTTACACAAGTAAATAAACAGAATCAATCATGAGCTAAAAATCTGTGGAAATCTGCGTGCGCAGATTCCTAGTGGGCCTTATTATTATGTACTTGCCTTATATGCTGTAGATAAATTCTAGAGTTCTGAATAAGTCAATTTAGAGAAGAAGAATAATTGTACTTTTTGTTTGACAAATATATTTTGACGTATAATTTGAAAAAAAAAATTGAGTTAAAAATATTGATAATATGAAGAGATACTTAATTTTTTTCTGAACTAATACTCTTGATTCTAAATTATTAATTTCTATCATGTTTGTGTTGAGATATGTTATGTTGTTTTTTTTTTGTTTTTATTTAATCTGGTAATATAATTACCTATTGCAGGGGTGTCAAACTCAATTCCTGGAGGGCCGAAGCCCTGCACAGTTTAGTTCCAACCCTGCTCCAACACACTTACCTGTACGTTTCAAACAAGCCTGAAGGACTCAAATAGTTTGATCAGGTGTGTTTAATTAGGGTTGGAACTAAACTGTGCAGAGCTGCGGCCCTTTTGGAACTGAGTTTGACACCTGTGACCTATTGGGTACTTAATTTAGTTTCCAGACAAAGCAATTACACAAGTAATTTTAGATGCAATGTTAATAATCTAATTAGTAATCAGTAATGAATTAACGTTTTAAAATAAACCCAGGTCACAAATTGCTCCATATTTAAAATTTCTGTACAGAGAGGTCACGTTCTGATCTTCTATTGGTCTCAGGCAATGACATGATGCGATTTCCCAGGTCAGAGTTCACCAAGCTTGAACTTTTAAATACATCGAAATGCAAAACTTGTCACATGAGCTTGCATTTCTGGTTTGCCGCAGTCGCATGCGAATGCATGGAAGTTTATGGGCCGAAAAGTGCAGCTTAACCGCAATACATTTTCTCCATGCACAATATAAGTCAGTTCCTAGAGGGTCGCAGCTCAGCACAGTTTAGTTCCAACATTAACTAAATACACCTGATCAAACTAATCAAGTCATTCAGGCTTGTTTGAAGTCTACATGTACGTGTGTTAAAGCAGGGTTGGAACTAAACACTGCTGCAGCCCTACAGGAGCTAAGTTCAATCCCCCTGATACAAGTGATGCCGTTTTAGAATTTGTCCAAAGGTAGATAATGACCATATTGTTTACATTCATACAATAGACATTATTATTGAAGCTCACATATGATAAGGCCTAAATAGACAGTTCACTATGTTTCATAACATAGCCTGTTTATAAGGATAAAGATCTGCCCCGTAATAGCTGCTTGCTTCATTTTCACATTTTTTCCCAGAGAAATGAACACAACCAAAATTCAGCAATAGTTGTGGAAGATTTCCAATTCTGCTCCCAAAGGACCAATGCTCAAACCACCAAGTCCCCTTATCCTACAAAGGCAAAATGCAATATCTAAGCAAACACTGAAACTGAACTTAACCTTTTTTATTACACCTGTTCAGGTTTCGTAGCTAATGCAATTTTGGAACTCTTGTTTTTTTTTTCTGAAATGGGACAAGAAGACTTGTCACGATGCCCATATTAGGCTTTAACTCAATGTTGACCAAATGTGTAGTTGTCGCACTTTGCCTTTGTAGGGTGGAGTGGTCCTATATGAGCAGGTTATGACACATCTGTCCTAAAGCACTGGCATAGACTTATTCTAGAGCTCTATGGCGCCCTCCTCCTCCAAATTGGGAACTTACACATGTTGAAGTAAGGGGTTTGTGGCGAGACAGGGAAGGCAGGGGTTTGGGGTAGGACCTCACCACCAACAATTGGAGGGGGGCTAACGGGACCCCCATCCATTTCCTCAAACGCTTCTCTGTAGCTGTGCATGTGCCTCTGGAAAAAGAAAAACAAGTGGAGACGTATCCATTTGCACACACACATGCTAATTCTGAGATTGGTTTTAGGGATAATTGATGTGTACCTCCTTGGGCCGCCCCCCAGGGTTCAGAGCAATTGTATTGGCCAGCTCTGGTGAGATGCAGCGAATGGGGGAGCGGACTGAGCTTCCTCGAGTTGGGCTTTCGTCTTGGGAAAGGCCCTCACTAAGGGTCCGACAGCGTCCAGGAACTGCAGCCTCATCTGGCGACATTTCACCAGATGGAAGTCCTGCCAAGAAAACAAATACACGATGTCATCAGCTATGTGAGAGATAACTATTAGGCCCTGCAGAAGCACATTCATCACGCTTGAAATTAATGAAATATCCAAATGTCAAATATTCCTTGAACAAATCCATGGAGAGCTGCCAATGGACTCTGAAGAATTAACTCTCTGTCAAAAGCTGCGCTGACGTCCAATTTGCACCACATAAAAGCCCGTTGGAGCTACAAACAATGTTCTCATTCAAAACAGCCCAGATTATAAAAAGCTGGAATATTAAGAGAGACTCTGTGGATTTAGGGTAGTGTGTACTTCCAGGATAAAGCTCTGGAATTGCCTCAAAGCGACTGCGAAACCTATTTCATCACGTTCGGTTTGATACCAAGAGTCAGACGGTGTAAATAAAACTGGATTTGCGTAAGCCTTCTCTTGCAGTGATGAAAAAACAAAGCAGACATGGATAACTAAAGAACCGAAAGCTGAAGAAATGCACCTCTGTTTATTCATTTAGCTTTTGCTTTTCTAAGAACCTGTTTACAGAATTTTAAATTGCAAATGTATATGCATTTTGGAACATTCATTCACACAAAAACAATGTTTTGGAGGGCTTGGGGCCCATTCTTCGCACCTCGCTTAAATGATCTAAGATGATTTGGCAAATCCTGGATCTGTTCATCTTGATAACTGATCTCAGCCCAAGTTGGTTCTTCAAACAAGTTCAAGAATGAGATTAGAATGTCTGGATAAACTGATCTGAGATCGCTGCATGTGTTGTAACGGACAGATCTATCGATCTTTGAAATCATGATTAGCAATTTAACGATTGGCTAACGGCAAAGCAACTTAATGACATCATCAAATTAATATTCAATTATCCATCTGCTGAATAACTACTCAGAAATTTCAGCTACTGTCTGGGCTTTCCATGCCTTTCTACACATCCCTTTCTTCATGTGTTCAATACTTTTTTCCCTGTGTCATTTCATTTTATTACACATGACCTCATTTGTAAACTAATTAATATTGTTTTCTTTGCATATATGGATTTCTACCAACATCTGGTGAAAATTTCAAGTAAACAGCACCTTTAGAAATACGTTTTCTAAGGAAAAAAGGCATAATACTTACTAAAGTTACTTAAAGTTGTTATTTGTGTTTATTGGGCATGCAAAATGATTGTCATAGCTTGATAATATACAAATTCAATTCAAAGGTATTCAGGTAGCTTAAGGAATTTTTCTGTTTTTAGTTAGCAAACTTCTTTAGTTGTTCATTTTTGCTGTTTTTTTTTTATCCCTGCAAGAGAAGGCTTACACAAATCAGTTATTTACACCATCTGACTCTTGGCAGCAGGGACATACAGCCTGATCTCAAGAGGAAATGTAAGAATTTAATGTTTTGTCAGTTTAGTGTTCATACCGGCAGCTAGCTCTCTGCAACTCTCACATGGTCGCCCACTGAAGCTAAGCAGGGCGGCATATGGTCAGTACCTGGATGGGAGACCACATGGGAAAGCTAGGTTGCTGCCGGAAGTGGTGTTAGTGAGGCCAGCAGGGGGCGCCCAACCTGCGGTCTGTGTGGGTCCTAATGCCCCAGTATAGTGACGGGGACGCTATACTGTTCAGTGAGCGCCGTCTTTCGGATGAGACGTTAAACCGAGGTCCCGACTCTCTGTAGTCGTTAAAAATCCCAGGATGTCCTTCGAAAAGAGTAGGGGTTTAACCCCGGCATCCTGGCCAAATTTGCCCACTGGCCTTCATCCATCATGGCCACCTAAACATCCCCATATTCAATTGGCTGCATCACTGTCTCCTCTCCACCAATCAGTTGGTGTGTGGTGTGCGGTCTGGCGCAAAATGGCTGCCGTCGCGTCATCCAGGTGGATGTTGCACACTGGTGGTGGATGAGGAGATCCCCCCCACTATGTAAAGCGCTTTGAGTGCCCAGAAAAGCGCTATATAAATGTAAGGAATTATTATTATTATTATTATACGAGTTCAGTCATACGAAAATGTTCGATTTTAAAAAAGAGGCGTGACACCTAACCTCACCCCTAACCCCAACCGTCATTGGGCGATGAGCAAATCGTACTAAATTGTACGAATTAGATCATACAAATTCATACGAATTAGCTAATAAATCAAAAAGTTACGAATTGCCCTGAGATAGCGTTGGTACACAACATTAAGACGTTAATAATAGATTAGATTTAGGTCAAGAAATCAGGTAACCAAAATTCAATGTCTAGCCAGTATTTAAGGATGTTATTTTGACGCTATTTTTGACGTCCAATAGTGACATCAAATGATGATGATATTTGGTAGATTTTAGGTTGTGTTAGAATATCACCAAAATCCAACATCAAGCCAACATCTTAAACCAACATCTTATTGACATCAAATTCTGATATTAATTAATCAGGTATGGCAACCAAAATCCAACGTCAGATAGACTTCATGGTATGGTCCACACAATGTCAAGCTGTAACATTATTAAATGTTGATATTTAGTTGATTTTACGTCAGATGTTGAACATTGACGTCAGCCTGATGCTAGGTTCTGATGTCATCCTGATTTTAGCTATGAGAATCATTTTGCACGCCCAATAAACACAAATAACAACTTTAAGCAACTTTAGTAAGTATTATGCCATTTTTCCTTAGAAAACGTATTTCTAAAGGTGCTGTTTAATGACTAAATGTAAATGTAAATTCTAAAGGTGCTGCTAAATGACTAAATGTAAATGTAAATTTTCATTTCCAAACAAAATGCAACGTCTGACATCATTTTGACGTCCCATGCCTGCTGGGTTGGTAATCAACAGAACCTGATGAAACAGGTTTTGCTGTTGCTTTGAGGCAATTCTACAGTTTTATCTAGAATATGTGAAAGTATTCTCTGATTTGTGATTTTTTTTTTTTTTGGTATTTTTCTGGATTTTGAACAAGTAGGAGGATAAGGGAGCGCTCAGATTTCACCTAAAATATCTTAATTTGTACTCTAAAAGCAAACAAAAATCTTTAATTAATACCATAACATAATTTTCAACATCCGATCAACCCATGTGAAAACAACGGAACCCCGGAAGGGACGTTGTGGAGGAGAAAAAAATTGGCTGGGTGAAAAAAAATGGGTAGGAGGAAAATATATATTTCTAAGTTTTTACGTTGTCTCGCAAAATTTTGCGTTCTCTCGCAAAGATGTTTTGCGTTCTCTCGCAAAACTGTTTCTCCACAAACACTTCCTGTTCACTTCACTCATGTAAACCCTCCCGTTTTTGCCGAAATTCTCCCATATTTTACCATTCTACCCTACCTTCTTTACAGTAAATCTGTGCGTCGATCGTTGTCTTTCATTTTGCAACCTCTGAACCAGCGAATGCATGTATAAGCGCTGACTGACAGACGCACTCTGTACAATAAACTGATCCCAGATCAGCGTCTGTACGCGCCATTTTCAGGGTTCCGTAGAAAACAAACCCAATTGAACGGTACATTTGCAACTTCATATCAAGAATCCACATTTTTAAATGCGACTCTTCATTACTATAGTGTGCACTAAGCAGAGCTGTTTCACTTTTCACTGTCAGCTTACAGAAAACATCTTTTACAGATCTCAGGGGTTCAGCAAAAGCAAGTACACCGTTATAACCCCATTCAACTGCACTCTGAAACAGAGCAAAGCATTAATAAATTCTGATGGGAGTGAGTGGAATATCATGGAAACCGGGCAACAGACCGAGCTAAATATTTACTAGCTCCCTGAGAGCGGCCTACGATTGATATGTGTGGTCAGGACCACAGCTCAGACCATCCGAAGCTCACGTGCGCTGGGAAACGAGCTGAAAAAGATCAACCACTTCCACTTCTGGACAAGCAGGCCACCCTTGTTCTTAAACATGACGTTATCCAGATGGTCGGGGTGCATTTAGACCCCATTTTTGGAGGGTTGCCCAACAAAACCAGCTATTGAGAACAATAGGCTGGTGATGTCACAAAGGGAGGGTCTTTAAAAGAGCGATTTCACTCCATCTGTAATCTATTTGCATTCCTGGATCAGACTCATGCAGTTTCTACGACAATGTCAAACATGCGGATTCCAAAAAACTGACTGGTCTGGGAAGCGATGGATCTAGTGATTGGAAGTGCTGGGACGGTCTATATCCTCTAGTGTCGCTTCAGACAAGTTCGGGAGAGGAAACATGCAAAACAGATGTAGGACGCCAGATCCACAGCTGTGCACGACAAACTGTGCTGTTGCCTTGGCGACCGCACTGTTCTAATAGATTCAATCTGGTGCAACTGGGAACTTTAAAAATCAGAGAATCAATTTATCCAAACACTCACTGTTTTCATTTCAAATGTTCAATAAAAGAGGCAGTATATAGATAATTTATGTAAGTCTAGTCAAAAATAACAAGGGCAGGTATTTATTGTTTTTCAACTTATTAGAATAGTATATAAGATTGTAAATATTCATTCATTTATTTATTTGCCTATGGCTTAGTCCCTCATTTATCAGGGGTCGCCATAGTTGAATGAATTGACAACTATTCCAGCATATGTTTTATGCAGCAGATGCCCTTCTAGCCACAAGCCAGTACTGGGAAACACCCATACACACTCATTCACACATACACTTATACACTATGGCCAATTTAGTTTATTCAATTTACCTGTAGCGCATGTCTTTGGGTTGTGGGGGAAACCAGAGTACCCAGAGAAAACCCACGCCAACATGGGGAAAACTTGCTGAATGTAAATATGTAAATAATAAATAATCTACTATTCAACCATCTACCAAAATTAATTAAATAAACAATTATTTTTACTAAAACATTTTATAAAGAAACTGCTATGCAGGGATTACACAAACACATTTTCATGAAATATTTCATTGCAAATTATTAACTTACTATATTAGCATGATTAGAAAATTTTGGTCGATTTAAATAAAGCTGAATATTTTACATAAATAGATATAATTAATTCAAATAACTAGCTGTA